GGGCCAGGCATGGTAGCTCACACCTGTAGTCCCAGCACTTTGGGAGGCCAAGGCAGGCAGATTGCTTGAGCATAGGAGTTCAAGACCAGCCTGGGCATCATGTCAAACCCTACCTCTACCAAAAAAAAAAAAAAAAAACACACACAAAACTTAGCCAGGCAAGATGGTATGCACCTATGGTACCAGCTACTTGAGAGACTGAGGTGGGAGGATTGCTTGAGCCCAGGAGATCGAGGCTGCAGTGAGCTGTGATCATGCTACTGCACTCCAGCCTTCATGACAGAGCAAGACCTTGTCTCAAAAGAAAAAAAAAAGCGGGGCGGGGTGGGTGGCGCAGGGTATGCACAAATTTGATTTTGACATGCTTTCCCGTTAGCCAGTTGGGCTCAACGCCAAACCCAGGCCCTGATGATCCCCCTCCTGCAGAACCAAGGGAGTGGGGAGGGGCGGCTGAGTGGTGATCCTCCCCTGCATATTCTGTCTCTCTCTCTCACACACAAACACACAAACAAATACACACACAGAACCTGGCTGTGATTCCCCTCGGCTGAAGACACACAGAGGCCTATCAGCCTCTCAGCTGGCTTTGTGGGCCATCTGCTTCTGGGAGGGGAGCTGTCTGGCTGGAGCAGGCCACATGCAGCCTGGCTATGCTCCCGGCCCATCATTCCAGATACATGCAGACATAGCCAGACACCCCACATAACCACAGACACACATGCACACACAAAGACACACCAGAGGCTTCTCCCCGCTCTCATCATGCTGTCAAAGAACCCAAGAGGGGCTGGTCAGAGAGGGGGCTGCAGCAGGGTCCCAGCATTTGCCCTTCGGGAGCTGGCTCCACTCCTGCCCCAGACACACACCTCTAGGCCCGTCAAGGGGTGCTACCAGGCTCCTGCTCCACTGTTGCCCTCGGAGGCCCAAGCCTCTACCCACCTAGGGGATCAGAACAGGAAAGTGGGGGATGCCACCAAGAAAGAGAATGCCGTCCTCTTCAACAAGGCCTCCTTCACAGGCCTGGGGTGGGAAGGGGATCCCTGTAAAAGGACAACAAGATCCCAACCTCTCCTCATACCCGCTTCCCACCACCAATCAGAGAAAACTCAGTCCTGTAGGCGCATTTTGTCACTGATAACATAAACTGTGAATTCCTTACTCCTTCAATGACCAGATGGGGAAACTGAGGCCCAGAGATGAGAAGGGATTTTCCCAAGGTGAAC